AACTATAATTTGTTGATTATCGCAATAATTCCATATTAAAGTCATTAAAAGTCTTGTTCATAGTTATCAAATCGTGTATCGGAAGGCGTATCGTAAGATACAAATATTGTATCGTATCGTGTATCGTAAGATATGGTGCAATTTTAAATAAATAATAATAAAATATATATACCTTTGAAAAAAAATCATACACTCATAAAAACATAGCTTTTCATTAATACTCCACCAACTATTCAAGTCAACAACATAATCCACTACAAAAAAATTAATCAAGATTCAGAATTTTTATACAAAAAAANAACAACATAATTCACTACAAAAAAATTAATCAAGATTCAGAATTTTTATACAAAAAAAAAAATTATTTGGCTTTGTAAATAAATTAACAGAATTACTTACAATGCACTTAGCTGGAGTAGCTGGAGAAGGAAGAAGAAGAAGAAGAAGAAGGCAGCTGCAACTTCGATCCAAGGCAGCTTCGTCGATGAAAAACAAGGAGAAGAGAGAGAATACGGAGAACAAAGAGAAAAGAGAGAGAGGCTAGACTGGAGTTCTTCGTCCTCAACAACAGAGAGAAGAGAGAGAGGGAAGATCGAAGAATGAAGAACAGAAGGACACCTGGATTTGACTTGGTTACCTGGAGTAGCTGAAGAAGCTAAAATTTATTTGGCTTGCTGCCTTCATTGATGAAGAACAGGGAGAAGAGAGAAGACGGAGAACAGGATTTGGCTTGCAGCCTTCGTCGATGGTTCCTGTGTCTTCGTCGTCGTCGTCGTCGTCGTTGTCGATCGTGAGGTCTTGTGTCTTCGTCATCGCTCGTGAAGAACACCTAGGCCAGAAGGGAAGACAACAAAGATTGAATGAGAGAAAAAGAGGGATTTATTTTTTTTCTAAACCCTAGCCTGAAAACGACGTCGTTTTCAGTGGCTGGGAAAAATAATCAATCTCTTTTTAGACAAAACGACGTAGTTCCATCCCAAAAAAAATAAAAATTAAAAAATTAAACAGGTTTTACGCATATCGTTCGTATCGTACCGATACGTATCATATCATAAAAACGTATCATATATCGGACGATACAACGCAAAAACGATACATAACTACGATCCGTATAGTTTTAGGCCTGTATCGTGACATATCGTACGATACGTATCGCGTATCGTACGATACGATACTAACAACTATGATTTTGTTGATTCACAAAGAATACCAAGTCAATTGGAAGAAAAAAGAAATATCTCTACGTTTATTCAAATAAAATGGCCTAAATGTCATTTTTTGGCTTAAAAATGACGGGTTGAAAGACACATTTTTCAATCTTACTTGGCTCGTCAAAAACATTTTAGAATGGGATCTTAATAAATTTTCTAACACTGTCNCGTTTATTCAAACAAAATGGCCTAAATGTCATTTTTTGGCTTAAAAATGACGGGTTGAAAGACACATTTTTCAATCTTGCTTGGCTCGTCAAAAACATTTTAGAATGGGATCTTAATAAATTTTCTAACACTGTCGCCCAAAATAAAACCCCGATTGGTGTCCACGCAGCTAGGGGTGTTCACCCTACCCTACGGGTAGGAAATATGTTCTTCCGTCTTCCTACCCTATACTTTGCGGAAGAGTTTTTTCTTAACCTACCCTACCCGACAGTTGTGGTATTCCTACCCGATTAATCGGGTAGGAAGTCAGGTAAACATTTTTGTAACAATTAATTTTTTGATCATTTTAACAATTTAATTAAATAACATGCATCAATTTAATAACACAATAAATCAATTACACTAAAATCTAAAACAACTACAACAAGAATTATAATAAAATACAAGAAAGTATGAACATCAATCCACCATAATTGTTACACAAATACAATAACAATTAATTTAAGTTTAAACTTTAAATCATATGAAATACATTAAAATCATAATTGTTCCGTTGTGGTAGTTCACCACAAATCATGTAACCGATCTGTTATTGTAGATGAAGGTCTGCGATCAGACCTTCCAAGCCAGACCACACCACAGAGAGAGAGAGAGAGAGAGAGAACCTGAGTGGGAAGTCTGGAACGATGAAGGAGGAGCAATAGAGTGACTGAGTGAGGTGTGAGGCGCAGGCGCTCTTGGGACTCGGTAGATTAGGGTTTTTTTTACTATATATATATATTTTTTAAAAAATTATTGCAGGTAGGGTAAGGTAGGAATGGGAAATGGATGTCTATTCCGCATTCCTACTCGAAAATTGTCGGAAGACCAAAAACTCTTTCGCATTCCTACCCGATTTTTGCGGCTAGCCGTTCAATAGGATAGAGTTGGGTAGGGTAGAAACTTGCGGCCGATCAAAAATTTGAACACCCCTACAAGCAGCGCTGCTTTCTAGGGTCTTGATCTGCCATGTAATCATGTGCTAAACTTCGAATTTGCATAATTCAAAAAAAATTCTGACACCTGCTTTATTCCAAAAGATATTTATAGCAAGCAACACTCCTACTAATTCCCGTTCGATAGGTTCCCATTCGGGGGCTTCAACCAACATTTCGCCCCATGCATCAGGAATTGTGCTGCATCACAATTAATTTAGTTTTTAAAAATAAATCTTTGTTTGCGGTTTTTTTGGCTTTGAAGGAATTCCTTAGTTGCAAAGTCGTATCTCCATACATTTCTAACTTCGACACTACATGGGAGATCTCTATTGACTCTACACTAGTGGTATGTATCTGTGCGTGTGCATGTGTTCAATTTGATTCCATCTTATTAACGCATTTCTCCAACTTTAACTCCAAGACCCCAATTCCATGCAGCCCAACGCAATACCAAGTTCTTGCTCAAATTAATTATTTTATTCCTAGTAAATAATAGACGGAAAAGAACCCAAAAAACCTGCCTTCTCTGATTCCTGAACAACTTCAAACACAAAGGGGAGCTTTTGAAAGAATTTAGAGACTTGATGAGCACACCACACACCACACACCACACATGCACACATGTATATATATAGAAAATCATGGGAAGAGGAAAGAGATAAAAAGAGGTGTGTAGAAATTAGAAAAATGAGTTGTGATTGCAGAGCAATGTTGCTCTGATCTTATCATTTTGGTTCATTTAAGTACATTCAAGCGGCTAACTTCAAACTGTCTTCCCCACTTTATTTTCATTTTATTCTTCTTTCGAATGCAACTTGCACTGGTTTATTTTGATTTTACTGGATATTGTATTTTTCCAACTGAGAAAAGTTGTAGCTTGCTATTTGGTTAGTAAAGTTTGATTTGAAAACTATGCCTGTCACAACTGCTTTGATAACTTCATTTAACTTTAGTTCACTGTTACATATTAGGAAAATTAGATAGGTTGGTGTGTATGATGTTTGCGGGCATTGGTGCATGGTAAAAGACTAATATGCAGAACTTAATGGATTTATTGATTGTCGATTGGTAGGATATATTGATTGTGGTAGTCGGAGTGAAGGTCACGATGTGGGTGACAAAAGCTAGACTGCTAGAGTATGTTAGTGTTGATAGTGGAATATCTAGGCTTTATTTTACTTTGTTGAAATATATGGTTAATGAGCCAACTATAAATGATATTGATGGTGGAATTTTTGCAGTGCTTTTTTGTTCCCATTTTAGCACAAAAGCGCACTAAAGCACCAATACTCTTCTTTCTTTTTCTCTTTTGGTCTGGGAGTAGGTCCGATTATTGTAGGAGTGTTATTGTCCACTGTTCAATAAATATTTTGTTGCAAGCTGATTTTGATGTACTGCAAAGTTATGGTTTGGAACGTGTTCTTTGCAGGCTTGGGTGATCGATCACTTGGTTATTTTGGGACTCATTACCTCTAGATTCCATTATATAGGTATTCCATTTGCTAGGTACCTTAGAAACAAGAATTATGTTGTAGCAGCTTATAACTCCTCAAAATATATTGCATGATTCTTTAAATTATAGTGACATACTAGTGAATTGTATTTGAATATATATTCCAAATGTCTTCAAATGCTCGAATGTGGGCTTTAAATTGGCCTTTTGTGGTTAACCAATGTGGTAAATTCAGAATTATTCTTTTCTTATCATTTCTAATATATTTAGATTATGGTGCAATTGTTATCGTAAAGACATTTTTTTGATTGATTGTATGTGTGTTATGGTTTTTTTTTTTTGGGTGTAATTTTGTGTGACATGGTGTATTTGATATGTTGGGCAATAGATTGTTGCAAATGGTTTGTTTTTGTTTTTTTTGGGGAATTAGTAACTTTGATTGGGGGCCAATTTTAGTGATTGAGTAGTGAATTTTGGTGTAATAAAAGGTACATTTCTCAATATCCTCAAAACTCTTTTATTTGGTATGTCTTTTAATTGACTAAAAAAATTTCTTTTTAAGGCACAGGCAATTACTTGAGAATAACTTGACCAAGTTTAAGTTGCAATGGAGCTGTGATTTTGAATAAAATGTGAAAGTGTGTTAGATCTGAAATTCACAGTCGAATATAACTCAACCAAAGTGGTTCAATATGGATTTTGATATCTAGAACAATGACACAGCTTGCTCCATGCAATTCTGCATTGAAGTCTTAAGTTTCCATTTTGTAATGGCGGTTTCCCTCTATGCAAAGCCCGGCCTTTTATTATCTCATCAAATTTTCCAACAATTGTGTACACATGTTGGTATTTTTATGAAAATTGTGTACCATGATGTTGGTATTTTTTGGGGTTCTATTTAAGAGGAAAATTTTGCCAAAATTTTTAAAAATTGTAGGTCCAAATTTTTTACATAATGCCTTCAGACATGGGCAATAACTAGTATATATATACACACAAACTTTTAAATAAAAGATTGAAACAAGAGAAGAAGAGTAACAGTTTGCATAACCTCCACATTGAATGGTGGTTCATTCCTTTATGAAATCAGAAGCTCATCCTTTCTTACCTGTTCCATTTCGTCGTCGTCGTCGTCGTTGTTGTCCAAGTCGTCGTCGTCATCGTCATCATAGTCAACATCAGAAGTATTATCTACTCNTTGTCGTCCAAGTCGTCGTCGTCATCGTCATCATAGTCAACATCAGAAGTATTATCTACTCTTGAGTACAAGGTCTGCTCGTCAATCTCCTTGACAGTTCTCATATCTTCCTGCAAATTGACAGCAGAAGCATAAAAATCAAACAAGAAATGCCTATATTCTTTCACTATGTTGCCCCTCGTATAAGATACTACTGTTGAGAAGGAATCTTACTAGCTCAGACTTCAGCTTCTCAATTTTTTCCTGTAATTCTGAGATGTGATGCTTTAGTGCCTGCAAATTTTTCAGTACTGGTTAACAATCAATGAATCATCTCAAAATGTAACTAAACTGCAGTATCGTTCAGTGAAAATTACGAACATTAAGAACTGATCACTATATTACCTCACGCCTCTGAAGTTCAATTGACCGTGCTAATGCCTGCCTCCTTGTCAAAAGATTTTTAGGCCGCATTACATGAGGGCGATGATAGTTTTTCCCCCTATAGACTATGATGGCATAGCCTTTGGTTGTTTTGTCTAAAGATACCAACACTCCACCACTCTCAGCCTCTAGAGAAATTGCAATATGCTTGACCAGAGGAAAACTTTTTCCTTCCACAATAATCTTTACCAGCTCCCGGTACTTCCAGTGTAAGTGCATATTTTCTATGGTACCAGCGTAAATCCCTCGCCTCCCTGAAACAAAAGGTACAACATGCTTGACTCTGTCTATGAAAACAATAGACTGAGAATAGAAGTTGTAGATCCTTACCTAGAAGCAAGTAAGGTTTCATACTAAGGCCAATCTTACGAAATAAAAATCTCTCCTCATCATTAATGGTTTCCAAATCAGTTGGGAGATCTGCTGGTTCCAAATACTCCTGCACTTTTTGTAAAGCCTTTTCAGCCTTTTTTACCTTCCCCTTTGCCTGCAATCGTCCAGAAATATGAATAACATCAAACATCAGAAAATGCTGGAAAGGATTTACAAGTGTCTCAGAAAGTCAGAATTGATTTAGTATAAATAAATAACTTACAAGAGCTAGCTTCTTCTCAAGATATCTGACCAGTGAAGCATGTCTAGCCAANAAAAGTGTCTCAGAAAGTCAGAATTGATTTAGTATAAATAAATCTCTTACAAGAGCTAGCTTCTTCTCAAGATATCTGACCAGTGAAGCATGTCTAGCCAAAGCTGAATCTCTCTTCATTTTCTCTAAATCCTCATTGCTAGGTTGGTTTGCCCAGCGTGAGGTTGCTGCTGTGGTCTCAGAAAGGGTTCCTGCAACCGATAGACCTGTGGCAGTTTTGGCATTTGAATCAATTAGGTGGGATACTTTCTGCCGTGCTTGCTCTTCCTCATTCTGTTGGAGAACTGTGAGTTTCTGCGCTTCTACCAATGTTTCTGCAACATCGGGTGGCAAGAAGTCATTACCTCTGTAAAAAACAATGTAATCCTTGTTCCTAGAGAGTAGTGTTCCCCCTGTCAATATCTGAAAATGAGATGAAACAGGTCATTGACTAGCCGGACGTTCTGTCTGTTAACTTTGATCAATCAAAGAAAAGTAAGAGGAAGAAAGAAGAGAATATTATTGAGGCACAATTAGCCATAAGGAAAACTACATATAAGAGATCTTTATATAGTAAACTAAGCTAGAGCAACATAAAGAAAACAAATGACTATTTATATAGTAAACTAAGCTAGGACAACATAAAAGAAAACAAATGACTAAACTACCTCTAAGTCTAAATATAATAACTATTCTAACACCCTCCCACAAATTCATGATGTGGTAATATTAAACATCAAGAGTTTGCTAAGAAGAAAACGGAAGCGTGCGATGGTGTGAAATTTCGTAAAGAAACAATCTGCAAGTAGCCAATACAATCAAACTATCTTTGTTGTTATGAAGGCCATAGCATGATACTCAACTTCAACAGATGATCGAGCCACAACAGTTTGTTTCTTACTTTTCCACGAAATAAGACAATCACCAATGAAGAGACAGAAACCAATAGTAGACTTGCGATCTATAGAGTCACCAGCCCAGTCCGCATCAGAGTAAGCATGAAGTTCCAGAGACAATTAAATAGCAATGAGAGGTCCAACAGAAAACCAAAACTCAACAAAAACCACCAGCAACAATGTTTAACAAAACAAATCCCAACAAAGGAAAAAAAAACAAACAAACCAGAACTAGTCTCAAATCAGTAGTAGTCAAAATCATAAACTAGAACCAAAAGAAGGAGCCAACGCCAAACAATCCAAAGTTCGCCACAAATCAACTTAACAACTTTGCAAATCAAATACTCACCCAGCAGTTCGTTCACAAAATCAGTCCCAAAGCCTCAAACCCATCAATCAAAAGTGGAAACAAAAGTTTCTTGCTTATTCAATGCGAAACAATGCAAATGGAAACAAAAGTTTNGCAAATCAAATACTCACCTAGCAGTTCATTCACAAAATCAGTCCCAAAGCCTCAAACCCACCAATCAAAAGTGGAAACAAAAGTTTCTTGCTTATTCAATGCGAAACAATGCAAATGGAAACAAAAGTTTCCTGCTTATTTAGTGCGAAACAATGCAACGCTATGTCAAATAGCAAACCCAAACGAACAAATCAAAAACCAGCAATGTGACAACTCCCCAATGCACAAAACCAACCAATCAACAAACCAGTCCAAAAAGCCCAAAGCAATNGTCCCAAAGCCTCAAACCCATCAATCAAAAGTGGAAACAAAAGTTTCTTGCTTATTCAATGCGAAACAATGCAAATGGAAACAAAAGTTTTCTGCTTATTTAGTGCGAAACAATGCAACGCTATGTCAAATAGCAAACCCAAACGAACAAATCAAAAACCAGCAATGTGACAACTCCCCAATGCACAAAACCAACCAATCAACAAACCAGTCCAAAAAGCCCAAAGCAATAGCAAAAAACAAAGAAGAAACAACCAAACTAGCAACCAGAAGAAGAAGAAGAAGCACCAACAGAAGAGAAGAGGTAGCAACAAGTCAACAACAATAGCAATCCAAACAGCCGATCGCAACCTACCAACTTCACAAACCAGAAACCAACAAAAAAGCAGACGCTCAATAGGCCTTAATACAAACATCTCGAGCTAATAAATCAAACCAGCAATCCAGCAACTAGACAACCCNGCACCAACAGAAGAGAAGAGGTAGCAGCAAGTCAACAACAACAGCAATCCAAACAGCCGATCGCAACCTACCAACTTCACAAACCAGAAACCAACAAAAAAGCAGACGCTCAATAGGCCTTAATACAAACATCTCGAGCTAATAAATCAAACCAGCAATCCAGCAACTAGACAACCCAAATTCCATAACTTTCAAAAGTCCAGAAGACAAACAGAGGCAGCAAAACAGTAGCAAAATACCAAAAAGGCACTGAAAATCGAAATCCGACACTGTTCACAACATAAACAGTAATGTCGGTACTATTCACAACGCGTGAACAGTACTTTCAGCACTGTTCATCCAGTGAACGGTGTTTTTGGCACTGTTCACAGCCCTTGGAATCACAAAAAAATAACAATCCACCAATCACTAGCCCTCAAATCACACAACTCAAGAATATATTCTTCCTCCAACTAAATTACTGTGGTGCTATAATATATATTTTGGATCGAAACCATGCTCTAATACCATGTTAACTTTGATCAATCAAAGAAAAGTAAGAGGAAGAAAGAAGAGAATATTATTGAGGCACAATTAGCCAGAATAAAGCTTAAAGGAAAACTACATATAAGAGGTCTTTATATAGTAAACTAAGCTAGGGCAACATAAAAGAAAACAAATGACTATTTATATAGTAAACTAAGCTAGAGCAACATAAAAGAAAACAAATGACTAAACTACCCCTAAGTCTAAATATAATAACTATTATAATACTGTCAACAAATAATGTCCATGAAGAAGACATTAAAAAGTATACAGTCAAGCACAGCTTGTAGATCAGAGGATAGAAAAACAATCTTTAGAAACAGTCACTGAAATGTTTTAGGAGCAGCAGTCTTTTGGACACATCAAGCTTTTTATATGCATGTATTTTTCATTTTGCAACAGAACTAAAGGATACTTTCACTTTGCATATGCATCACATCTATTGGACTTTGGAAATACATACATATTATTGGTGAATCTAGAAAATGCATATTTTCGCCAATACCAAAATCAATCCGAGCAGTTCATACCTTCATCAAGTCAAATGTGCAGGTTAGTACAACAATTATTCACTGGATTGCAAAAAAGAATACTGATTTATTATACTTTCAGCATAACATAAAAGAAAATGACAAATTACAATTGGACAACACAGAAAGGCAGGTAGGGTTTCTGTAGCACAACCAAAATAAGACAATCAGCAAAGCTGGGTGCATGCAATAAAAACTAAAAAGAAATACTATTAAAAAGAAAAAATTCAGATGATTGATTATCACTGATTCACTGATATAAGCATGATCTCCACTTTACAGGAGGCAAATTGCTCTTAGGTTTCTTTAACAAACTATCTTCTTATTCTAACAGCAACAGGTGGCTGTTCTACTAACAACAAATGAATATTCACTTTATTCCGAATTCAGATGGGGAAAAACGAAGGGAAGAAAGAAAGCAGTTTCTGCAACCTTGAGTTCTTCTGCCATCCTTTCATTCCAAGTATTCTGTACGCCCCGTTTGATGGCTATCTTTGCAATTGTGTTTTTTTCCCATAGCTTCACCATGGCCCGAGCCAGACCTTGCAGTTCTCTGTTTCTCCCTATGACAATCAAGCAAAAACATAGTTCACAAGGAACTCAAAATGTTGAATACGAGAGTAATCCGGAAAATCATTTTTCGGTACCTAGGGCAAAATGGGGAGGCATTGTTCTAGCAGTCCTTCGGAAAATTGTCATCTGCCGGTCTCGTAAACCCTGTCTTATCCCATATGGAAGAAGTCTGAATGGCGGTTTGTATCCAGGGACCACAGGAGGAAGCAGGTCTGCATCAACTGGCAGTGGATCACGGCCAGACCAATCTTTAAAACGTGGACCCAGCTCATCTAACAAAAAATTTAACTCGCTTAGATCCATAAGTTCTTTTTCAGATAAATCCTTCAAATATCCTGCTGGATCAGTTGCTGACGATTCTGTAGTCCTCGATGAGCCTACTTCCTCTGTAAAATCATTCACTCGACCTCTTGAAGATTGTGATGTCTTCAACTTATCTTCATTTTCTTTAGTATACGATTGCACACAGTGAAGCATGTAGGACATTCCCCTGAATAAAACTATTGAACTACCTGATCTCCATATCACTAAACCTCTAGTTTTACTCTGATTGAGTGCAAAGTATATCAGATATAAGAAGTCAGTAAACCTCATTTTACAAAATCAACAGAGACATATAACAAACTAAAATAAATAAGTTATGGTCACAAACAAGAGAAGTCATAGTATTAGCACATCACATGTTTAGAAGCTAATTTCCTAATTAATCATCATACCACACAGGACATGGAATTTGATGAAGTATGTAAATACAAATGTTATACTGCCTCTAATATTTTAGGCTTTTATAGTAGATGGTGGTTTATATCAGAGCAATAGGTCTTGCAATAATTAAAAGACTTCCACATGTTTGGCTCAAAATTTAGCCCAGACATGAGGGAGCATGATAAAATATATAAATACTTCCGTTACACTACCTCTTATGCTACTCTCTCTAATAGCTTAAGCTTCTAGGTTTAATTAAATTAGGATTCAACTAAATTAGCTTGCAAAATTGAATTGGATGCAAATAAACATACAATTCAAGTCATTTTAAGATTGAAATGTTAAAGTACAACATTCATGAGCTAGTTTAACANGAAGAGGCCATAGTCATGGAGTTTTAGATAGATATTCAAGCTTTTATACCTGTGGAACAACATAGGATGGTTAGACGTTGGTGGTGAATATCAATTTGCAACTTTAAAGATTTTTAAAATTTAATTCACACACTAAAAAATTAAAAAATTTAAATTATACCCTCAATCACATAAAAAAATAACATTAAAAAAATTGACTATGAAATTGTCATGTATAATACTTGAAATTAAGTAATATATAAATAATTTAGTATAAAAAATATATATAAAGACTATAATACAAAAAATTATGAGANTTCTTTAATTGGTTCGCTCTCTTGTTCTTCCTGTTTTTCCCATGGAAGTTTCTCTCTCAAAGAAGGGGTTTTAAGAGACCATTTATCACGAATTTGTTCAAGAAAGCTTGGTCTGGGCTTTCTTTTCTTCTTGGTGGCGTCCTCTTGTTGGGTACAGTCAAGTTGGGTTGCCTGATGAGAACAAGAAAGTTTGAATATGAGACTTCTGGAAGTGTTTGAAGAACGGATTTGTGGGTGCGGGATGAAAAAGCAGAGAGAATGTGAAGAAGGGTAAGCTGTAGGAGGAGAGAGAAGATTATATGATGATGGTGCAGAGGCCATAGTCATGGAGTTTTAGATAGATATTCAATCTTTTATACCTGTGGAGCAACATAGGATGGTTAGACGTTGGTGGTGAATATCAATTTGCACCTTTAAAGATTTTTAAAATTTAATTCACACACTAAAAAATTAAAAAATTTAAATTATACCCTCAATCACATAAAAAAATAACATTAAAAAAATTGACTATGAAATTGTCATGTATAATACTTGAAATTAAGTAATATATAAATAATTTAGTATAAAAAATATATATAAAGACTATAATACAAAAAATTATGAGACAAAATAATAGATTTGTTGCTTTCAACGACATTGTTACGTTTTTGTATGTTTGAGGGTATAATTTAAAATTTTAAGATATAAATTAAAAATTTTAATATTTTTTAGGGTATAAAGTGTCATTCGTCCTCAAAGTTGCTACAATACTTGACTGGGACAGGCCTGGCTGATTGTTGAGTCGAATTTTGTGATGAGTTTGTTTTTTTAAATGAATTTAAAAAATTATTTAAATTTAACTTATTTAAAAAATGAGTTAAACTCAAGTTGAACCCTAATGAGCTGATCCTGAGTAAAATAACCTAGTTTTATGATCTTGAGTCAAATTTAAAAAATTATTTAAATTTGATTTACAACTCGGTTCGACTCATTTAAAATATGAGCAGAATAATAATCAACTTGTGTATGAATCGAAATCGAAACGAGTTTGAATAGTTCGGCAGCAGACCATTTGTAGTTCAAATATTGGAATCTTAGGCCCAACATGAAGGTAAGTATAACATTTTGAACCCATTTAGAAAGCTTGATAAATAAGAATCAAACAAACCATGTAGAATTTATGATTTAGGAAAAATTTTAATCACATTTCTTCTACTTTATTATATCTTCAAAAACATTTCTATTATTCAAAATATTACTGACACCCTTTTTAATTTGTATTTAAACATCATTGACACTCCCTATGTTAAACCACCATTTGTAACAAAAAAAATTCATCTAAAATACCAAACATGTCCCTACATAAATCCCAAACAATTTTTTTATATAAAATTCAATTAAAATTTATTTTTGTATATATTAAAATTTGAACTTATTAAAATTTATTTTTTTATATATTAAAAGTTGAATCGATTAAAATAAAATTCAAGCTGATTAAATTTGTTCATATTAAAAAAAAAAATTTATGTATTAAAATTCAAGTCAATTTGAGCTCAACCAGAGCTATTAACATCGATTAAAATTTGATTCAATGCGAGTTAATTAAAATTTGATTCAAATCGATTATATATAGAATCAAAATTTAAGCAACCCGANATAAAATAATAGATTTGTTGCTTTCAACGACATTGTTACGTTCTTGTATGTTTGAGGGTATAATTTAAAATTTTAAGATATAAATTAAAAGTTTAAATATTTTTTAGGGTATAAAGTGTCATTCGTCCTAAAAGTTGCTACAATATTTGACTGGGACAGGCCTGGCTGAAATGAGTTTAAAAAATTATTTAAATTTGACTTGTTTAAAAAATGAGTTAAAACTCAAGTTGAACCCTAATGAACTGATCTTGAGTAAAATAACTTAGTTTTATGATCTTGAGTTAAATTTAAAAAATTATTCAAACTCGATTTACAACTCGGTTCGACTCATTTAAAATTTGAGCAGAATAATAATCAACTTGTGTATGAATCGAAATCGAACCGAGTTAGAATAGTTCGGCAGCAGACCATTTGTAGTTCAAATATTGGAATCTTAGGCCCAACATGAAGGTAAGTCTAACATTTTGAACCCATTTAGAAAGCTTGATAAATAAGAATCAAACAAACCATGTAGAATTTATGATTTAGGAAAAATTTTAATCACATTTCTTCTATTTTATTATATCTTCAAAAACACTTCTATTATTCAAAATATTACTGACACCCTTTTTAATTTNACAAAATAATAGATTTGTTGCTTTCAACGACATTGTTACGTTTTTGTATGTTTGAGGGTATAATTTAAAATTTTAAGATATAAATTAAAAATTTTAATATTTTTTAGGGTATAAAGTGTCATTCGTCCTCAAAGTTGCTACAATACTTGACTGGGACAGGCCTGGCTGATTGTTGAGTCGAATTTTGTGATGAGTTTGTTTTTTTAAATGAATTTAAAAAATTATTTAAATTTAACTTATTTAAAAAATGAGTTAAACTCAAGTTGAACCCTAATGAGCTGATCCTGAGTAAAATAACCTAGTTTTATGATCTTGAGTCAAATTTAAAAAATTATTTAAATTTGATTTACAACTCGGTTCGACTCATTTAAAATATGAGCAGAATAATAATCAACTTGTGTATGAATCGAAATCGAAACGAGTTTGAATAGTTCGGCAGCAGACCATTTGTAGTTCAAATATTGGAATCTTAGGCCCAACATGAAGGTAAGTATAACATTTTGAACCCATTTAGAAAGCTTGATAAATAAGAATCAAACAAACCATGTAGAATTTATGATTTAGGAAAAATTTTAATCACATTTCTTCTACTTTATTATATCTTCAAAAACATTTCTATTATTCAAAATATTACTGACACCCTTTTTAATTTGTATTTAAACATCATTGACACTCCCTATGTTAAACCACCATTTGTAACAAAAAAAATTCATCTAAAATACCAAACATGTCCCTACATAAATCCCAAACAATTTTTTTATATAAAATTCAATTAAAATTTATTTTTGTATATATTAAAATTTGAACTTATTAAAATTTATTTTTTTATATATTAAAAGTTGAATCGATTAAAATAAAATTCAAGCTAATTAAATTTGTTCATATTAAATTTTTTTTTTATGTATTAAAATTCAAGTCAATTTGAGCTCAACCAGAGCTATTAACATCGATTAAAATTTGATTCAATGCGAGTTAATTAAAATTTGATTCNTGATTAAATTTGTTCATATTAAAAAAAAAAATTTATGTATTAAAATTCAAGTCAATTTGAGCTCAACCAGAGCTATTAACATCGATTAAAATTTGATTCAATGCGAGTTAATTAAAATTTGATTCAAATCGATTATATATAGAATCAAAATTTAAGCAACCCGAATTTTAATATGTAAAAAAAATTATAAAATAAAAAAAGTCTCATTGAAGAAATATTTATCTAGAGGGAGTGTGGATGAAATTTTTCTTAAAATATATTTTGGGCAATTTAATTAAATTGTATTATAGACAAGGAGTGTAGTGAATATTTAAAAATTAGAAAAATATTTTTAAATTTATGATAAATTAGGAAGAGTGTGATTGAAATTTTTCCCATTGTTTATATATGGGGCCTTCAAAGTCGATTTTTATAAGAAGGTCCCATTGGGCCTGTGGTGTTTTGTGCATTCGACTCTCCTATCNAGATTTAAAAATTAGAAAAATATTTTTAAATTTATGATAAATTAGGAAGAGTGCGATTGAAATTTTTCCCATTGTTTATAAATGGGGCCTTCAAAGTCGATTTTTATAAGAAGGTCCCATTGGGCCTGTGGTGTTTTGTGCATTCGACTCTCCTATCATCATTTGTAGTGTGTATGCATGTGCACGCGTCCTTGCCCTCGCGTAGGCGAGAGTGGGCCGGTGCCCTGACAATATTTTCACTTAAAATTGCCTTTAATTTTTCAATCTTTTCTTTGACTTTTACATTTTAGTGTCTTGAAAAATATTATTACATTTTATATTCTTATTTNTGTAGTGTGTATGCATGTGCACGCGTCCTTGCCCTCGCGTAGGCGAGAGTGGGCCGGTGCCCCTGACAATATTTTCACTTAAAATTGCCTTTAATTTTTCAATCTTTTCTTTGACTTTTACATTTTAGTGTCTTGAAAAATATTATTACATTTTATATTCTTATTTTTTTAATAAATCAAAAAAATATATAGGTTATATGTCGAATTTAAATGATCATTTGAATTTGCTTGTTAAATTTGGAAATTATTTTTGATTATGTATATTATCAAAAATATGATTTTAATATAATAGATGATGATTTATTGGTGGTGGACTCTTTGATTATGTACAGAAATAGAAAAAATTAATATTTATACAGAAATAGATAATTTTCGGAACATGACATGCATCAAACATTTTTTTAGACGGGTGATTGACTTGAATGACATAAATATTGTGTCCTTTTTTTTTGTTCCATATCTTAAGACTAAACAATATTAGATATATTTTCTTCTAGTATTTTAATTTTGATTATTAACATATTTCTTATATTTGTGTTTAAAACCATTAATAGTTTATATCAATTAGTAAAAAAATTTTAATCATATTTGTACCCACCCTAAAGTGAAATTCTGGCTCCACCACTGTGTGCGAGTGAGTGCACCTCATCTTCTCTCCCCTTCCTCCACAACCATCCACCCAAAAAAAATAATTGCCCAATCCAATTAAAATTCAACCTTACATATAGAAGTATTCTTAAGGACCTTAAATATTTTGTACAACAATGATATTAAATTATCATTCTTAAGGACCTTAACGGTGGCGATGNTAAATGTTTCCCAATCTTTTCTGTATATATATATTTTTAAAATATGTATTTTGTTTAACCGCATCTCTTTTAAAAGCTTCAATTGTCATAAAGGCGTGACCCCGCTTGAATAGTCCTTCCACATGTTTGTATATTAGTACCGAGGGATGAAAGTTAGNAAATAATTGCCCAATCCAATTAAAATTCAACCTTACATATAGAAGTATTCTTAAGGACCTTAAATATTTTGTACAACAATGATATTAAATTATCATTCTTAAGGACCTTAACGGTGGCGATGGCGGATGATAATGGCTGGTGACGATGGTGAGTGACAACAGATAGTGGTGGGTCATGGTAATGACTGGTGGTGGGGTGCTGAAAATGGGCGACATGGTAGTAGAATGATGGTGGTAATTGTAATAAATATAAGAATGAGATACGATGGTGGTAGGTGGTGGCGATGGGCGTCGATGATAGTAATTAGTGGTGGGACAGTGACAATGGTGGTGCGGGTGGCAATGATGGTAAGGTGGCAACGATGGTGGTGGTAGTGGTCGTAGAGGCGATGATAGAACAGTGGCGACAGTGATAGTTGTGGGGGTGAGGGTGGTAGTGGTGATGGTGGTGGAGGTGGTGGTGGGGCAATGAGGGTATAGGTAGTGAGGTGGTGACAATAGTGATAGTGGGGCGACGGTGGTGGTGATGGTGGTGATAGTGGTGGGGTGGTAGTGGTGGGGCAGTGGGGGTGGTTGTGATAGTGGTGGGATAGTTCCAAATATTACTTTTTTATTTTTAAAGTAATTATGAGAAATTATAAGTTTTAAAAACAGTTTTAAAAAGTCACCCCAAATACACATTTAGGGATAGAGGTACACATGGGCGGACCAACCCGAATTGAACCCAAATTAAACCCGAAAAAACAGGGTTTGAGTTATAATTTTTAATATTTGGGTTGGACTTGGGCAAAAAAATTTCAACTCGAATTGAATCTGGACAAGCCCCAGGTTGAAGCCTTTGGTTGTAGGGTTCAATCCGAATATTAAAATATAGTTGAACCCGATTATTAAATCAGTTTGAACCTGAATATATATAAATATATTTAACTAAAATTAGTATTTATCTTCACTCTTTAGAGTTAAAATTTTCACTTCACTTCAAGTCTTCACCTCTACATCTCCATCACTCTCAAATACTTCTCTCATTCGTCACTCCTTCCTCATTTAGCCTCTTTCTCTCAATCGTCAATCGGCACTCGTTTGAGTCGTCTCAAACTCTCAGTTTTATTCTCTCACTCGTCATTCCTCCTTTTCCCACTCCCTCTCTCTTCATCTATGCTTCGTCCTTCATATCTGATCACTTGAAAAAATTAGACCTACACTTGAAAAAATCAAATATATACTTCAAAAAATTAACCCGAATTAAGTAACTCAAGTCAACCCGATTTTTAATCTGAAATCAATTCGAATTAAGTAACCCGAATTCAACCCGAGCTCACCCGAATTAAACTTGGGCAGTACTCGAGTTGAGTACCTGGAATTGAAGTAGGGTTAGAGTTGAAGATTATATATTTAGAATTGAACTAGAGTTGACCTCTCAACCCGCCAAACCCGTCTGAGTTGCACCCCTACTTAGGGACTTATTTTTTCTATTAAATTTGTGATGTTAATTTTAACAGTTGGATTAATTTTAAAGTAAAATTTAAATAAATCTTAACTTCGAAAAGTAAAAAAATTATTTTATTTATCTTCTGAAATTNTTTTAACAGTTGGATTAATTTTAAAGTAAAATTTAAATAAATCTTAACTTCGAAAAGTAAAAAAATTATTTTATTTATCTTCTGAAATTTGAATTATATTATACTTTATTATATAGATTATGATCGACACATCATATTCAAGATTTTAATAGTTTTCAACTGTATCGTGTGAACGAACACGTTATCTCTTACTCAACTTTATAAGCAAGGATTAGCGCACCAAAATCTTGATCAACTTTAAAGCAGACCATAAAGAGCATTAAATCCAATCCCATCTTCTTTTAGGTAAACAATCCAGTCCCTTCATTGCGCAAAAGATATTCATCAATCATGAGACAAAAGAAAAACCTTACTCTCTTGTTTTTTTTGGGAGTATGACAAACTTTATTCAAAGAACTAATACTCAAAGAATAAAGAAGCTTCCGTCCTATTCCCACTTAGAAGGATTAATCCCATTCCAATCTACGTTACTAATAAAAGTATGTATGCTAAATACTCAAACCAATACTATTTTATCAACTAAGGGAATATTTATTTCATGGGAAAAAGATGAATAAATAGGTCGGATTAAAACAAATAATAATAATATGTCTCCTCACATATCGCATGTTTGATTCATTTATGAATAAGAGGATTAAACTATTAAATTTTTCTCGGCCCAAATTGAATAGTGATAATAACCCTATGTATGATAGTTTAGATAAACTTACCGAGGGATGAGTTTAAAAAGGGTTAAATTTGTAAAATTATTAAAAATGTTATTATATCGATCAAAACACCAAATCAAATGAAAGGTATTATAGTGAAAACTAGTTTCCTGACGTCATCTCAGAGAGCCCACAACACCATGGTTATCTTTCTATTTCTATCTGATCAAACTCAAACATAGGACAAAAAAAAGACAAAATCATATTTCAATCCGGACCTATCCCAAAAACCCGATTAGATGGGTTAATTTGGACTGATCTACCAAACGACTCTAAGAGGATTGAGATATATAGATAAAGCTGCTCTAAACAGAATTGAAAATTCCTTGCCCAGGAGACAATATCATTTTGGGATCAAACTGAGATTTCCTATCTTGAAATGTGTTCCATTTCGAGCCAAAATGGTTCATCCAGCCTTCCTTGGTTTTGTAGTGTGGAAGATACTGCTTCATCTTAATGCCAGATTTCTCACAAACTTGTAATATTTCTTTGTTCTGATCATCCAAGACCTCCCAGTCATTGAACCCAGTTGAGCGCAAGAACCCTACGCAGTAGAATGTATCCTCATCTGGTATAACTGCAGACATCCTATCATCCCACCTGCAATTAATTAAGTTTTTAATTATGGTTCAAAATTCGCATAAAATGATAAGTAGATCATTTTTTCGTATAACAAAATATAATTATAGTCCCTCGTGCATGCGCTTTGTTTTTACTTTGATCTTTGGTCGTTAAATCCTTACTTTAGTTCCTCAAATTTTAAATTTATGTCCATTTTTTTCAATAAAAAAATGAGAATTTACCTTGACTACCATGCATCTCATGTGACCAACAAATTGATACAAATTAAATACTTCATGGGTCAAAACGATCCCTAAAGTATGATCGGCCAAATGCACGTATATGACTACTTCTATATGGTCAATTTAAACCGTCATTTTTTATTTTATCAAAATGACACAAAATAAAAACTTGAGAGCATAAATTAATCATCTGTAAAAGGAAAACCAACGNGGTTTTAAGCTTTTTTTTTTTTTTAAATGTTTCCCAATCTTTTCTGTATATATATTTTTTTAAAATATGTATTTTGTTTAACCGCATCTCTTTTAAAAGCTTCAATTGTCATAAAGGCGTGACACCGCTTGAATAGTCCTTCCACATGTTTGTATATTAGTACCGAGGGATGAAAGTTAGTCTGACTTGAATTCGGAGTGTGATATAATTATTTATTTAATTATTAAGTACATCCATACACTTAAAAAAGCAAGTACCTCGTCCACAGTGTCGATGCTGAGATGCTCATAGTACTTGACTACTTCTAAACAGTAGATGATGCCATGTTGCGACAGTAGAGAAGCAATTCTTGATTGATCAGACAATGAGAAAAAAGAAGATCTCCAGTTATTTGGAGGACTCTGCTGCATTATAAGAGAACCTTCCAAATACTCCAGTGCAGTTGTTGAGATCAGCTTTTCTTGGTCTCTCGTGAAGGTAGAGAAATCACTGTAAAGCAATCTGACCCATTTCACCTGTGAACCAAAAAACAACAACTTATACCTTAATATAAGTGAAATATTACATGAATATATGTGCGTGTGTGTGTGTGTGGCTGGGTGTGTTTGGCCTTAGTTTATGATAGTCTCAACTCTCAAGCAGGCTATTCTCTTTGAGGAAAGACGGTAAAGGCACGATCTCGCATTCCAAGAATATTATCTTATAGATTAGGAAGTTTAGACGCTTGAATATCTATTTTGTGAGTATACCTCAGGAAGTTATTGGGCACGTCTTGAACTATAATATGAGCCAATTTTTCAGTAGTAAAGTCATTTACCGAGAGAAAAAAAAAACGGGGGTTGGAAGATAGTTATACAAGCATACTTCATGCTAATAAAGTTTCAACTTACTCTGTTTGGTGCCTTATCCAGCACAATTCTTGCTCTAGTTATGATTCCAAACTGACCAAGTCCTCCTAGAACTGCAAAAAACAACTCAGAGTTCCACTGTTTGGAACAAGTCACAAGCTCCCCCGTTCCTGAATCAAGCAATTAAAAAAAAACTTCATCAGGTTAAGTAAAACCCTAGTAACTGTATCTGTATGCATGGTATCATGTAGAAAGTTCTGTTGTTCACAAAGAAAACCTAGGATGATTCATTATCTATGCTTTGGAAATAGGATATGGATATACCTAACACATGCAACTAGATTCCTCTGACACCCTGTGAGGTGAATCCTACCAAGAAGATCTCCCAAGTGGGAGAGAGACGTCACCAACCAGAACCTGTGAATGTCAACATTATATTCCCCTACATTTATCAGGAATATATTCTGAGGTATCATCATGTTTCCATTTGTGCCAGGAGTTTTGGGGGTAGGACTAGGCTTGCCCGGAATCTTGATATATAATTATCGAGTTTGAGTTTAATCTCAANTTATCGAGTTTGAGTTTGAGTTTTAAATTGGTAGAAACGTGCATTAATATAATGTGTGGACACAGATCTAGTTAAACATAATAAAAATTATGTCTAAAAATAACTTATACACGGCATGACTTTGATTATATACCGTTATAAAGGAATCAAGTATGTTAAACAAATTATGACAGACGACAAGATTTACACTGCTTAAAAATTCAATACGACACTGGCCATACATTTGTAGGANTCTAAAAATAACTTATACACGGCATGACTTTGATTATATACCGTTATAAAGGAATCAAGTATGTTAAACAAATTATGACAGACGACAAGATTTACACTGCTTAAAAATTCAATACGACACTGGCCATAGGTTTGATGTTTATGACCCTAATTATGGTATTTAATTTAGCTATGTTTTTTTTATATCACTCAGACTGTCAAAAACTGCAGAATAATAAGAAGAAAAAAGAAAATATACCAGTAATAATATCCATTTCATGTACATTGCTGATCTGAGGACCATAACGAAATGACTGGCCACTAATCCCAGCATTAGAGAGAGTTCCTCCAACACTGAGGTACAGATAATCCGTCCATGATACTGGTGCAAGTCCATGCTCAAGTGTATCACTCAACACATCGATCCAAAGCTTCTCTCCTCCAACATCTGCATAAAACCCTAATGCAGGGCTCCAAGAAACCCTAATTCCATCACCACCACCATTATTATTCAAAGAACTCATATCCACCACCACCCCATTATCAGCCATGGCTTGACCTCTAGATGAATGGCCATGACCTCTAGCGGCTACACCGAAAGGGACTGAATGGCTGTGAGAGAATTTTATGAGGTCAACTATGTCGTTAATGGAGGAAGGACGAAGAACAGCAGCTGGAGTTACATGAACCAGATTGCCAAAGTCAGTGGAGGCTGTTTTAATAGCGTCAAGATCTACGCGAAGCTTATTGGCAATGTCTAGAGAAAAAATTTCAGGAGGGAGTGGATTGGTCCATGGGCTTAGCTTTCCCACGATTGATATTAATGGGCTTATGATGAAAAAAACAATGAAATATGCTGGGATTGAACAAGTCTTAGCCATTGTAGAGGACTAGCTAGGCAGAAGAAGAGAGTGGAAAAAGTTGGTGATGTGTGTTAAGGAGAAAAGGGTGGATGTGATATATATAGAGGAGAAAGACTATTCTAAGGTTAAATTATAATATTTCTTACCAACGGNGTGTTAAGGAGAAAAGGGTGGATGTGATATATATAGAGGAGAAAGACTATTCTAAGGTTAAATTATAATATTTCTTACCAACGGGCATTTGGTCTAATAGTATTTTGTACCTTGCGAAGACTTTGCCTTCTTGAGGTCAAAAGGTTCAAATCCCCCTCCATTTTCCCTAAAAAAAAATAATGATAATATTTCAAAAGTCATAATCGATCACAAAATTAAAATTACAAATTTTAAAGATCAAATAATTATTCTTAAAAGTAATGCTATAATTAGTGAAAGAAAAATTATATGATATCGATCATAATATTTTATGATTGATCATGAATTATATCAAGTAATTGCACATTAAAAAAATGTAACTTTACTTTTAAAAATAAAAACTTTCGATATAGTATCAAAAAAAAAAA